TGAACACAGTTTGAATGGTTGGCCACATGCGATTGGCTGAAACTCTGTAATTGGCACAAGAATAGGTTATAGCCTGTTTACACATTCAGTCTGGTTACAATTCATTATGTGTGGAGAAACCTTTAGGCCAAACTTAAAATATGTAAGTTTTATATATTAAAAACATATTAAAATATATAAGTTCAGCCTTAGGCTAAGCTTAATTTAACTGATGTTGATATTAGGGAAAGCTGGCAGACAGGTATCTAGGAATCTTACACTTTATTTTGCAAGTCTAAAAATTATTTTAAACTAAGGATACACAAAAGGGGTGAGGTAAGGGGAAATAAAGAAGGAGCCCAGGTCCTAGCACTTAGCGACTCTGTGGGAGGGACCCAGGACTCTGGGTCTTGTTGGGCAACTCTAGCTCTTGTTGGGCAGCTCCTTGGGTCTTATTCTCCCTATTAGAAAGTAGCGTTTGGCCAAGAGAGGCTTGGAGGCCCTACTTGAAAGGTCCCCTGCTTCCCTCTGCCTGAGTGAAAAACCCATCACAGTCTTAACATCCATTCTTGGTAGCCTGTGGACCCCAGAGAAAGGCAAATGTCTAAGTCCATGGCCATCTTCTTGGGACATTCTGTTCTCTGATGTCTGTCTGAGGGACTGTCCTCAACCCCAGTAAAGATGCAAAAACCAAGGGCCAGAGAGGTGAAGCCACCATCTCTAGGTCACACAGCCAGTAAATGCAGAGCCAGATCCAAGCCCAGCTAAGCGTGACTCCAGTGCCAGCACCTTTAACCACCTGACATTACTGCTCTATTGTTGCTCAGTTCAAGTGGAGGCAACAGGCATTCACCAAGCACTTGCTGTGTGTCAAGGGGGGCAGTGGGACTGGAGGTGAGGGCAGCTGACTTACTGATCCTGGACCACAGGTGCTGTGCTGGGAAGGCAGACCCTCATACTGCTAAGCATGTGGCAGGCAGTGCGTCATATATCCAACATCCACTCATTCATTCATTCGTTCTCTGCTATTGCCTGTCCCTGAGCCCTGGCTAGCGGGTCAGATATGGTCCTTCCCCTGAGAGATCCTGACCCAGCAGGGGAACAGACAGTTCAACAGGCAGCTAACCATACAGAGATGCCATGAAGGGAGTGGGGGAGAAGGGAAGGAAAGAGGGAAGATGATTTGGAAAGTCTGGGAGATGAAACTATTGGTGACACAGGGGGTGTAGCAGACACAACCCTTCTCAGTGGAAGTTATGGCCAAAGAAAGAGATTGAGTAGAGTTTAGGGTTGGGGCAGATGGGGGCGGGGCGGTGAGATCTTGCTAGGAAGGTATCCAGGATGAAGAAGCTGGAGGCAGGATCTCTGAAGGTGATGTTGGGAAGGTCCTTCGGGTAGATACAAGGTAAGCAAAGGCCTGCACATCTGGAATGGACTGTTAGTGGCCTTGACCCAGTTACCAGGGAATCATTCCAGAGATGGGATACATGCTTTCCAAACACTATTCTTGGGGGACACTCCTTATGAGGTGGGAGGTCATCTGAGCTTGACTCTTGTCAATGAGAGAAACAGCTCATGGCTGTGCAGGAAGAGGGTTGGGGCAAGGGCAAAGAGAATTTTTTTCCAGTCTGAAAGCAGGATATATATACAAGCTGCTGTCCAGAGAGGGGACGAGCCTTCATAGAAGAATCATACTCCCTCTGCACTTCCTGAGGAAGAGGCACCCGGGTGCTGCTGCTCTGCTCCCAGGCCTGTGGTGAACATTCCCAAGCAAATCATTCTGGCTCTGGTAGGTTATAGCCACACTCAGGAGGTGAGGTTGGGGTGGGGGTGGGAATGCCCAGGGACCACAGGGACAGACTGAACCCAGTGGCTTGGGGAGTGGGCACGGGTGCTGGGAAGAGGGAGGTGCTAAGTCAGTGTAGAGCTTTCTCTCCAGCAATTGCCTCCAGCACCTGGAGAGTGAGGGGTCTTCTGACCTCTTCCCCTACTTAACTCTGGCTCTGAGAATCTGCTTTGCAGATTCTGAAAATCCCTGAGAGTTGGTTCTCCAACCTGGCTGGCTAGGGAGCTCAGCCATTCCCTTCCTTCTCTGGGCTTCAGTGTTCCCAGCTGTAAGAGAATGAGGCAGATGAGATAGTCTTTAAGGGCTTCTCCCCCAGGGCCAAGGTTTTGCAGCTCTGTGGTCTCTTTTGTACATGTCCACCCTCTCCCCATCCTCCTCCTTTTCCAAATTCTTGACCCCCTTCCTTCTGCCCAAAACTGTTCCAGATTCAAATAGTCCCTGGATCTCCTTCCATGCATCCCAGCCTGAGTCAAGTGTCATTTAATCAGTGAGTGTATTCATTTTAGGGGCTGAAAGAGAACCAATAGCATATGCCAGGCCCTCGGTTTACCATAATAACCCTGCAAGGGAGGCATGTTATAGGTAAGAAAACTAAGGCTCAGACAGGTTAAATTATGAGCGTGGAGTTGCACAGCGATTAAGAAGTGAGTTCAGCTGTATTCTGTGCCGCCCTTCCTGGGGGTGGTAGGGTGTTGCATTTTGAGCCCAGCATCATGCTGAAATACACATGCAAGAAAGTCTCATGGGAACATTTCAGGCAACAAGGAGAGAGGCAAAAAACAAAACATCAAAAAACATTCTGGGAAAGACATGAAAGTCACACCTTCTACAGCAGCTCCTTGAAGGGTCGGGCTCTAAGAGTGCTTACTTTTTGTTAGCTGAAATAAGCTTTGGGAGGAGGGTTACTCTTGTGATTTTATACATATCACAAACATCCCTATTTCCTGACAAGGGCCAGGAAACATTGAGTAATGTGAGGTCCCAGGGAGCGTGGGGAGCAGGCGGGCCTCACATATCTCATGAGCAGGAGACGGCTATGTCTAGCCGGAGGCTGCAAGGGGACGCCTGCCCTGCTGAGGACTGGATGAGGCCACTCCCTTCCAGCCAGACCTTTTGATTACACAAATCCATGAGGGCTAGTGCGGCAGCTGTGGCTCTGGGCATGAAAACAGACAAACAGGATACACTAAGATATTCCTGCGGGTTGTTTTTGCAGTGGTAGCATCACAAGGGAGTCTTGTTTTTTGGCCTCCTTTCTATATTTCCGTTGTATTTTCGCATTTTACATTGACTATACATTATTATGATAATCAGGAAAAATAACATGTTAAAAAGGTAAGGAGAGAGAGCGTGCAGTGATCTGGAATCCAGAGCCAGCAGATTCCTCTGGCCAGTGATGCCTGGCTTGCAGTAATAGCCCTGGGTTTACTGGGAAACCAGAGAGGGGATGCATACCTGTCCACCCCTTCACAAGGGAGCTGGGAAGACACAGCAATAATGACTGGGACTGAAAAAGGAAAGTCCTGTGTAAGTGTCAGGACTGGTTCCTATTGTCTTCACGGCGTTTTATAAATCACAATCCAAATATGCTTCCCACGTGGACCATCCAGAAGGCAGCTGTTCATCCCGCAAGCCCGAGGAAGGGGCGCTCACAGGCTGAACTCCCAGTGTGTGATTTGGGGTTCCAGCTCTGGAGCTAGCTGCAGGAACTTGGTTTCCAGTCCTGCCATATAATTGCTGTGTGTCCTTGGGCACATTACTCTCCCTCTCTGAGTCTCAGTTCCTCATCTGTAAAATGGGGCCCATCTTATAAGGTTATTGTGAGCAGTCAGTGCATTATTACATAAAAAGCTCAGGGGAGGGAATCCACAACCTTGCTGTTGTTGTTATTATTTTTGAGATATGGTCTCACTATGTTGCCCATATTGGTCTCAAACTCCTGGGTTCAAGGAATCCTTCAATTTCAGCCTCCCAAGTAGCTGGGATTAGAGATGCATGCCGCTGCCCCTGGCTGTGCTCACTATTTTCTTTGAGTTGTATTGTAACCTAGCATTTAAGAGCATGGACAACCGGTTTCAAAGCCTGGCTCTACTAGTCAATTGCTCCGTGATCTTGGGCCAGTACTCTAGCTTCCCTGTGTCTTACGATCCTCAGCTCTAAAACATGGCTGATGATAGTCTTTACTTCTATCAGGTAAATGTGAGGATTAAATACGTTAATACATTTCATGCCCTTACCCCAGGCCCAGCAGAAAGGTCAGGACTCCATAGTGCTGTTATAATGATAGCATCAGGTTGAATCCTCACAAAGTTCTTCATTGTATTGTGTATATTATAGATGATAAAACTGACTCATGGAAGGCAAGGGCTTTGCATGGAAGCCTTGCTTTTGTCTTGGGGCCAGCAGAGCCTGGAGGTTTAAGCTCAGGCGCACCCCAAACTGAACAGTGAAGTAGGAGGTGCAGTTCTCCCTCTGAGCTGATCATCCACGAGCTTCTCTTCCTAGCATGCCATTTCCGAGCGTCTAGACTGTTTTTCTCACGTCCTCCATGTGTGGCTCTCACTTCCTTTTCCATGCATGCACCATCGGCCTTCTGAGCAGCCTTCTATTCAGGTGTCCTAAGCAATAGCATCCTGGTCTTCTGTTATTTCTCCAGCTCTAGTGCCATCCTTTGCTCCACTGTCTTTCTTTTTCTTTTGAGATGGAGTCTCACTCTGTCACCCAGGCTGGAGTAGAGTGGTGTGATCTTGACTAACTGCAACCTCCACCTTCTGGGTTCAAGCAATTCTCCTGCCTCAGCCTCCCTAGTAGCTGCGATTAAAGGGATGCGCCACCACACCTGGCTAATTTTTGTATTTTTAGTAGAGATGTGGTTTCAACATGTTGGTCAGGCTGGTCTTGAACTCCTGATCTCAGATGGTCCACCTGCCTCAGCCTCCCAAAGTGCTGGGATTATAGGTGTGAGCCATCATCCCAGCACTTGCTGGCCCTTGCTCCATCTTCTAATGAGCCAGCCTGGTCTCTGAGCTTGGGTTCAAATCCCAGATCACATATTTTCTATTTTTATTTTTATATCTTCCTGCCCAGACAACCAACTCAGGTATTTAGTAGCTGTGTGACCTTGGGCAAGTTCTTTAGCCCCTCTGTGCCTCAGTCACCTCATATGTAAGAAAGAGACAGGAATACTCCCAGCCTCATAGTGTTACTGAAAGAATGAAATTAATTAATGCATGAGAACAGGACCCATAGTAAGTGCTGTAAAAATGCTCAGTGGTGGTGTTATTTTTATAGATGAAATTACAGTTCAGTAGCTGGTGCTTTCCCAAACCCAAGAAGAAGCAAGTAGAGAGATCTCAACACTGGTACCAGATCCCCAAAGGCAGGTTTCCTGCCATGTGTGCCCATCCTCTGTTACGCACCTCTTCCAGGGCCAGAGGGTGTTCCACAGCCATACACTGTGGTCAGAGTATGAATCACTTCATGACTCCTGCCTCAACTTTTCCAGCCACAGTTGGGCCAGGAATATGGGATTGGAGTCCCAGAGTTAAGGGCAGAGGACCAGAGGGGGACCATCCCACTCTGAGTGAGGATGGAATTCAGGCCTTGGGACCCCATTTCCACCCCAATCTTCCCAAAAGCAGTCAGAGGAGCAAAAGGAGTCCCGAGGGAGGATTGGGGTAGACACGGGGCCACTTCCTGTGACACAGGCCAGGGAGGCTGCACTAGCCGGAGGCGGCACTTGAACACGGTTCAAGTGGAAACAGCGGGGGCTTAGGGTTCGTAACGTTCCATGATCACAGGTTCCAAGGCTGCTAAGGCAGAGCTGGCCCAGGCTGGAGAATCCACTCAGAGAAGGAGGGTCTTGGCTCAGCTGTGTCCAGGCTCCTGTGGTAGGGAAGTGGGAAATCAGAAAAGGGAACAGTCAGGAGACAGAAGGGACGGGGAGAGGAGGCTGTGCTAATTAATTCCACCACCGGGTATTGAACACCTCCACCATCGGGTGTTGAGCGCCTCTTTGATGCCAGCCCTGTGCTGGTGAGTCCTGGGAACACAGTTGCAGATCCTCGGCACCCTCAGTTTAGCAGGGGAAGCAGGTGATCTTCAAAAGGCAGTCTTGCTTCCAGGCGATGGACACTGTGGCTGAGGAGTGACCTTCTGTGAGTGCTTGCAGGGGCTGGGGCAGGGGTTTTCCCAGGCCACCAGCCCAGGCGGGGTTCTGGGAGGGGAGGATTTAGATTGTATTTTAAAGGAGGGTATGTTTTCCACATTCAAAGGAAGCCAGCAAAAGTATTTTTCACTAGAAGGGATCTCAAATGGTGTTCTTGATTTTATATTTCAAAAGCTGGTGTGGCCTCTGGAGGTCACATTTAGGCTTGTTTATTTGATCAGCTTGCATGTGGAATTAGCTGCACTGTGAACAGTACACTCGCACTCAGCATGGGTGTGCTTTCAGCTCCTGGGGGACCTACAGGTGACCCCGCCCATAGGGTTCTTGGCTGAGGGGAAGGTGGTTGTGAACTTGATGTTTAAGGTGGAAGAGGGGAGATGGTGGGAGAGGCAAAAGAGGGTTCAGTGAGTCAGGCAGGGTCCGGTTAAGCTCTGTGGGGGCCTAATTAGGGGAGTGCTGGTGAAAGTTTGACAACAAGGTCTGGGCCGGAGGCACAGAGGAGTTAGGATGGCAGAGGAGAGAGAGGAAAGCCTTGATTTATAGCATTTGCCATGATGTAAATATTCTCAATTTCAAGCTACCAACTTAACATCACTGAATGCAGAGTTGGTCAATTCCATGATCATTTGTTTAATGCCTCCCAGATGCCATATGATTGGCTCTCAGCCTACCACTGGCTTTGAACCTTCTTGCCACTAGTTGCTGAGGCCAGAAGTTACTGTTGGAGCCTCAACCTTCAAATTCAAGTTTGGTCCATTTTGAAAGGGAGTGTGGGGGGGAAGGGGTCACCATTTCCACCTCATGTTGTGAGGCCCACCATTTGCTAATCTGAGGCTGTAAACAATTGGGTTTCACCTCTCCACACCTGTTTCTTCATCTGGAAAGTGAAGATTATAATCGCTTTGCTTCCCAGGACTATGGTGAAGATAAGGTGAGAAAATTACATGTGAGTGTTCAACTCGCAGAAGGAACCCAACTAACATGGCTGCCTCCTCATCACAATATCCTTCCTCTTGTTGCCTCAACTATGACTTCCCTGAGACACCTAAGGGAGGTGAGCCCTGCATATCTCCCAATGAGGGGAAGATCCTGGGAAACCAACCAAGACTCAATCACATCTTTCTCTTTTTTTTTGACGCCAAATTTTACTCTTGTTGCCCAGGCTGGAGTGCAATGGTGCAGTCTCAGTTCACTGCAACCTCCACCTCCCAGGTTCAAGTGATTCTCCTGCGTCAGCCTTCCAACTAGCTGGATTACAGGTGTGCGCCACCATGCCTGGCTAATTTTTGTATTTTTAGTAGAGATGGGATTCCACCATGTTGAACAGGCTGGTCTTGAACTCCTGACCTCAGGTGATCCACCCTCCTTGGCCAAAGTGCTGGAATTACAAGAATGAGCCACCATGCCTGGCCTTCAATCACACCTTTCTCAGTGACCCCTTTTTGTAACTGCTGGGTAGGGCAGAACAGAGGCCAAGGATGAGGTGGGACCAGGGACAAGGCACCATGTGCCTGGAGTCTGAAGACCTGGATTTCAGATGCAACTTGGCTAGTGACTTCCTGTGTGACCCTGGTAAAGTTGCTTTGCTCCTGGGTTAAATGGGGCTGACAGTTCCTTCCTGATTTGCCTTACAAGACTACTGCAGTGCATACGAAGGTGCCCGGCCAGCTATAACGTGCATAGGGGGGTGCTGACTGCTGTTGTCATTGTGGTTGGCATTATCGATGAAAGAGATAGGAGGGGATGGTTGTTCCAGAGATGAGGGAGACTTAGAAAAATTCCCAAAGTGAAAGATCAGGGTTAAAGACCTGACTGCTGTTGCCACTTTGTGATACAATGCAATAAAAATGTCATTGACCTTATTGATGAAAGTGATAGGGGGATTGTTGCTCCAGAGGTGAAATGATGTTCTGAACAGATTCCCAGAGTGAACGGTCAGGAGGCTAAAGGCCTCGAGTTGGAAGGGGATAGAGTGTTCCACGTAGAGGGAGAACAAAGGTGGCCTGGACTGGCAGGGTCTGCTGACCCTGACCTCTGGCTTTGATTGAAACATTTGTCAGACTTCGTTGTTTGCTAAAACAAAAGTCAAGGCACTTTGAGAAATCAAGTCAAGATCAAGGTCCATGTCAGCAGCTCAGAAGAGCTGGTGTTTAACCAATGTCAACTCCTGAGTAATAAGCCCTAATTAGACCCAAGTACACCCCTCACATCCTCCTTCTGCAGCAGCTCACAGTCTCCCAGCATGAGCCATATGCTAAGGGATCCTTACTTCTGCCCAGGAAGGGGAGTTGCTGAAGGACAGGAGGCCCCTGGTGCAGAGAAAGGGACAGGAAGACCAGTAAACAAAGGCACTGTGTAAAGTTCCTTAGGTTGATCAGAAACAGAAAAAGCCACTCAGGCTGAGCTCCTGGGATGGGGACAGGGCATGTGTGGTTTCCCCAGGATCTGGTCCAGATGTCATTGGATAGGAGCCCAAGGGTTGGGCAGAGGCTCACAGAGTGGGAGGACTCTAGGGCTCCCGCAAGAGAGGTTCTGCTTCAGCAGCACTGAATGGTTCCACCAGCCATGAGGTCATAGTACAACGGATACCATGGGTCAACTGAGAACCTGAGTCAACATTTCTTTCAAAGTCTACCTGAAAAAAAAAAAAAAGATAACACTTTTATCAGAAAGGGCTAAGGAAAACATTTGCAATATATATGAAAAAAGCTAACATCCTCACTATTATAGACCTCATAAAATGAGCAACCCACTCATTAAAAGAATAAATAATTCATAGAAGAAATACAAGGGGGCATTGAACATATTAAAAAGTTCAAGCTCAGCCAGGCACGGTGGCTCATGCCTATAATCCCAGCCCTTTGGGAGGCTGAGGCAGGCAGGTCACAAGTTCAAGAGATCAAGACCATCCTGGTCAATGTGGTAAAACCCTGTCTCTACTAAAAAATACAAAAATTAGCTTGGCATGGTGGCGAGCGCCTGTAGTCCCAGTTACTCTGGAAGCTGAGGCAGGAGAATCGCTTGAACCTGGGAGGTAGAGGTTGCAGTGAGCTGAGATTGTGCCACTGCACTCCAGCCTGGCAACAGAGCGAGACTCCATCTCAGAAAAAAAAAAAAAAATTAAAGTTCACTTGAGTCAAATATTTAAAAAAATAAAATCCAGAAGTATGGGGAAGAGCTGATTTGCATTTCTCAGTGTGTGGCCCGTGACTGTCAGCAGTCTGCAGTCCCCTCTTCAGTGGCTCTTCATAATTGCCTGCTTGGGCCACATACTCCTTTTTATCTCCTTCCTCTCTCCTCTTCAAGCCCCCTTACCCATTGGTGAATGCTCTTTGTTCAACAGTAAGTCTCTCTCCTCTCTCGCTCCCTTACTCTGGAACACACTACAGGTTTGAAAATATTTCTTCATTCATCATATACTTGTATCACTGGTTTATGTGAAGCTCTCTTCAAAAATTATTTTAAATAATTCAATAAAACCCTGGGATCTAACTGCCTCAGAGGACACTTGACTGTGGACAGTGACTCGTCCCATCTCATAGCTCCACCCCCATCCCATGCCTCTGGCTTCTCCTGCCCAGGCACCTGCCATCTTGAATTTGGTGCCCGTCATCCCTCTGCCTTCCTGTCACCTATTTGTACTCCTTCAAAGTATATATTTTTTGTGTTATTTGTCTTACTTTCATGAAAAGAGTATCATGGACATATTTTTATGGGACTTGGAGATAAGTGGGCTGACTGATAAGGAAAAACTCACAGGGTGGGGGTGAGGGTGATGAGGAAAGAGTCTGCAAGGTATCCCATGGTTCAGTCTTAGGTGACTGAGTACTTGGTGGAGTCATTCAATTAGATAGGCCTAGGAAAGAAGAAAGGGGCTTGTGGGGAGATGAATAACTCAGTTCTGGGCAAAGCAATAATTTAAGCTCACATTTATTGAATGTCTGCTATGCTCCAGTCACTTTTGTAGAACTTAAAGTGCTCTGCATGAATTATTACATTTAAGCATCACAAGAACCTCACAAGATAGGCACTGTTATTATTTTCATTTTAAAGATGAGGAAACTGAGAGGCGGAAAAGTTTAGTAGGTGCCGAGTCCATCAGCATGACAGATCACACCTTTTGCTACAAACAGAAATACTGGATAAAATATTTAAAATATTAAATATGTGTCATTAAAAGTATTGATATAAAACTCACTATTTACAAATAAAATATTTAAAAACTCTCAAAAAGCAAGGGAAATCCTCAGGTGACAGGAGTAAAGAAAACTCAAAGCCAGGGTGGATATATTGGACGTTTATGGATAAAACAAGCCCCACTGAAGATAAGCTGCCCTTAAAAAAATAATTATAAGCCACACATGAGAAAGGGTCAGGATACACATTAAATAGGTGAATTGAATAAAGAAGAATTTGAAAGACACTGTAAGTTTTTTAAAATAAATAATATAGGAGAAAAATAAACAAAATCATAAGGAAATAATTAAATGAGAACACCTAAATGTTAGCCACTTATCCAACAGTAAGTGTCAGAGTAAGTGGGATTCAGTTACAAGACAAAGGTGGCTGGGCATGGTGGCTCATGCCTGTAATCCCAGCACTTTGGAAGGCTTAGGTGGGCGGATCACCTGAGGTCGAGGGTTAGAGACCAGCCTGACCAACATGGAGAAACCCCATCTCTACTAAAAACACAAAATTAGCTGTGCATGGTGGTATATGCCTGTAATCCCAGCTACTCGGGAGGCTGAGGCAGGAGAATTACTTGAACCGGGAGGTGGAGGTTGTCGTGAGCTGAGATCACGCCATTGCACGCCAGTCTGGGCAACAAAAGTAAAACTCTGTCTCAAAAAAAAAAAAAAGAGAGACATGGGTGAGGGGATATCTGGGTGACATAACTATTAAGTGGTGCAGATGGCTCCCCAAGCTTGTGCTCTTACTTGTTGGACTGCAGATGTTGATGTAAATTTGAAGAGTCTATTGGACATCCCAGGGCAGCAGCAGAAGTGGGTTTAGAGAAAGGTTGAGAATGCTAGGTCTCACCATATTGTTCCCCCAACACCGCTACAGGACACCCGGACTGGGCATTGCCTCCCACCATGGCTGCCACTGCCTCTCCGCAGCGACTCACCACTGAGGATGCTGGTTCTGAGAACAGCAGCTTCTATGACTACGACTACCTGGATGAGATACCCTTCATGCTCTGCAGGAAGGATGCGGTGCGGTCCTTTGGCAAAATCTTCCTGCCAGTCTTCTATAGCCTGATTTTTGTGTTGGGCCTGAGCGGGAACCTCCTTCTTCTCACGCTTTTGCTCCGGTATGTGCCTCGCAGGCGGATGGCTGAGGTCTATCTGCTGAATTTGGCCATCTCCAATCTCCTGTTTGTGGTGACACTGCCCTTCTGGGGCATCTCCGTGGCCTGGCATTGGTTCTTTGGGAGTTTCTTGTGCAAGATGGTGAGCACTCTTTATACTATTAACTTGTACAGTGGCATCTTTTTCATTGGCTGCATGAGCCTGGACAAGTACCTGGAGATCGTCCATGCTCAGCCCTACCACAGGCTGAGGACCCGGGCCAAGAGCCTGCTTCTCATTACCATAGTATGGGCTGTGTCCCTGGCCATCTCTATCCCTGGTATGGTCTTTGTACAGACACATGAAAATCCCAAGGGTGTGTGGAACTGCCACGCAGATTTCAGCGGGCATGGGACCATTTGGAAGCTCTTCCTCCGCCTCCAGCAGAACCTCCTAGGGTTTCTCCTTCCACTCCTTGCCATGATCTTCTTCTACTCCCGTATTGGTTGTGTCTTGGTCACGCTGAGGCCCCCAGGCCGGGGCCGGGCTCTAAAAATAGCTGTAGCCCTGGTGGTGGCCTTCTTTGTGCTGTGGTTCCCATACAATCTCACCTTATTTCTGCATTCGCTATTGGACCTGCAAGTATTCGGGGACTGCAAGGTCAGCCAGCACCTAGACTATGCACTCCAGGTGACAGAGAGCATCGCCTTCCTTCACTGCTGCTTTTCCCCCATCCTGTACGCCTTCTCCAGTCACCGCTTCCGCCAGTACCTGAAGACTTTCCTGGCTGCTGTGCTTGGATGGCACCTGGCACCTGGCACTGCCCAGGGCTCATTGTCCAGCTGTCCTGAGAGCAGCAGTCTTACTGCCCAAGAAGAAATGACTGGCATGAATGACCTTGGGGAAAGGCAGATTGAGAACTTCCCTAACAAGGAGGATGTGGGGAATAAAGCAGCCTGAGTGTCCAAACCTCGGTCTGCTGGGAGCAGATGGGAACCAGCTTATTTGGGAATCCACTGAAAGTGCTCTCTCCAGGGTCCTCAGTGACCATGTTGCTAAACCCAGTGGTCAATTCTCAGTTCTCAGCCATCAGCAGCATTTGCTCACCCCTGCCTTCTTCCTCCACTTTCTTCACTTGCTTCCACGACACCACACTTTATTTTCTGAATTGCTGTGATAGTCCCTCCCTCCCTCCCTCCTTTCCCTTCTCCCTTCCTCCCTTTTCCTCCCTCCCTCCCTCCCTCCCTCCCTCTCTCCCTCCTCCCCCTCCCTCCCTCCTTTCTGACAGGGTCTCACTCTATTGCTCTGTCACCCAGGCTGGAGTGCAGTGGTGAGATCTCAGCTCACTGCAGCCTCTGCCTCCCAGGTTCAAGTGAGTCTCATGCCTTAGCCTCCCGGGTAGCTGGACTATAGGCGCCTGGCCACCACCATGCCCAGCTAATTTTTGTATTTTTATTAGAAACAGAGTTTCACCATGTTGGCCAGGCTGGAGAATTGCTGCAATAGCTTTCCAACTGGCCACTGTGCTTCCTATTTCTTGCTCTCCTCCCACCTCATCTGCACCCAGCAGCTAGAGTAATCCCGACATTCTCAACCTTCACTATCACCTTCCTCAGAGCAACAGCCTGTTGAAACACCAGATCACAACAAATTTAGTTTAAAGGTCTCAATTAGTGTTATTGGCAATCCTAGAATCAGACAATAGGTTCATTGAATCAGGAACAGATTCAGTCCATAAAATAGGAGTTTTCCAATGAGCTGGGTAGAAGAGGTTAGTTTCATAGACAGGAAAGGGCTCTGGAAGGCAGAAATAAATAAATGAAGAACAAAAAGAAGATTGATATTTTTTTTTGAGGCAGGTTATCACTCTGTCACCCTGGCTGAAGTGCAATCCTGAAATCATGGCTCACTGCAGCCTCAATCTCCTTAGCTCAAGTGAACTTCCCATTTCAGCCCTGCGAGTAGCTAGGACTACAGGGGTACACTGGCTAATTTTTGTATTTTTTGTAGAGACAGGGTCTCACTATGTTACTCAGGTTGGGCTGGAACCCCTGGGCTCAAGTGATCCACCTGCCTCAGCCTCCAAAAGTGCTAGGATTACAGGCGTGAACCACCTCCCAGGGCCAGATTGGTCATTTCTTTCTTTCTTTTCTTTTTTTTGAGACAGAGTTTTGCTCTGTTACCCAGGCTGGAGTGCAATAGTGCAATCTCGGATCAATGCAACCTCCACCTCCTGGGTTCAAGCAATTCTCCTGCTTCAGCCTACTGGGTAGCTGGGACTACAGGCATGCGCCACCATGCCCAGCTAATTTTTGTATTTTTAGTAGAGACAGGGTTTCACCATGTTGACCAGGATGGTCTCGATCTCTTGACCTTGTGATCCACCCACCTTGGCCTCTCAAAGTGCTGGGATTATAGACGTGAGCCACTGTGCCGGGCCAGATTGGTCATTTCTAAGTTACTTTCTGTATAAGGCCAGAACAGGGTGGTTGACATCAGGTTTCTTCAGGTTACTTTTTTGTAGTGATTCAAACACAGGGAACTTTAATGAGCCTGGTATTGTCTGCATTATCACGCCAACTGAAACTGGCCAGTTGGGGAATTTGGCTGCTAACTCTCTCTCCTGGAGTCTCAAAGGTCAGATAACAACTTAGTTTAGGTTTGAGGACATGGAACTTTACTATGACAGACTCCATTTTGGTTTAGTCTAGTCTACTGTGACTAGTGCAGGAGCTTAGTCCAAAACAGTGGCCTCCTGGAGTTTTTACTTAACAAGCCAAATCCCTACGGGAATCCTTTAAAGCCTATGCGAAGGGCAAAGAGGATAGGTAGGCAGCCCCTGATACTCGCTGCCCTTATGTCCTGTTGGAGGAGGTCTTGATGTGTGTGATGGAGTATATGTTTGCTGAGAGGTGATGGCAAGGAACACTGAACCATCCCCAGGCAGAAAACTGTTAGAATAGTAAGCTGTATGTACCAGTCATGCACTAGTTAAATCAGCTTCCAAAATACAGGATATTTCACTTTGTCCCCATTGCTGACTCACAAAGAGTGCTTTCTAGCTTATTTCTATTTTAGCAGTGAACAGGCACTGTCTGCATGTTTAGTCTATCTTTATTCTATGAAGAAACACCGAGCATCTGCTTATTAAAAATAATCACTTGTTCACAAAGAATAAATATGTGGGTCAGAGTCTGCTCTGGGCTGTCAGCTGGGAAATGCTGTCAGCCCCCTGACAACCCACTCTGATCCCACTTTTGCACTCTATCTTTGTTTCTGCTTCTCAATTCCTTCAGCGCCGCCTGGGTTGGGGTCTCTTCCACAGAGCTGGTCTCGGCAAGTGGCGCCCAAGCGTGGAACTCAAACTGAGGACAAAGGGTCACCTGAGTGACAGGAAAAAGGAGAAATAAATTTAAGCTGAAGGACACCTGAGAACTTTTGAAAAAATCTCCCAGGGTAAGTTGGGGGAGCTCGGAAGGTCAGGGACACAATGGGACAAGCTTCAAGCAAACACAAAGGCTATCTTAGCTTGCTTCATGATTTGCTTAGAAGAGGAGGAATTAAAGTTAGTACTAGCCACATAACACAGCTTTTTAAGGCAGCTAAAAAATATTGCCCTTGGTTTCCTGAGCAGGGAACTCTAGACATAGAAGAATGGGAAAAAGTGGGTACTACTTTTAAAAAGGCATATAAAAAAGGAGTTGAGGATATTCCAATCCCAGTATGGTCAGTTTGGGCAATGGTGCATTCAGCATTAGAGCCATTTCAAACTGATTATGAAAAGGAAGATTCAGGGGAAGAAGGAGACTACAACTGGGATGAGGAAATTAAAGATAACCCACTTAAGAAAAAAGAAAGAATAAATGAGGAAAACGAAGGAGTTTGTCCATCAGTCCCTCCTCAGCATTTCACCGAGGAGTGGCCAGATCCACCTGACATTCCTCTGTTAGAGGAATCGGAGGCTGTTGTGAAAGTGAAACTTGCTGCTCCAGTGGCTGTATTCACACCCTCTACCACAGTAATTGGGTCTGTTCAGGCTGGAATTCAGCAGGCTCGTGGTAAAGACAGAGATTTAGAGGCTTGGCAGTTTCCTGTTGTGATATACCCCCAAATCAGCAAGAACAGTTTCAGGTAACACTTGAGCTTTTTCCATGTAAACTCTTAAAAGAATTTACACAAGCCATGTTTAAATTCTCTTTTAATTTAGCTATATCCAAAGATAAGTAGGAACTCCATTTGTTATGGGAAGTGTTAAAAAATGTGGCCACCTCTCATAAATTAATTCCTGCTGACTGGGACACTTTAACTACAGCTTGCCTGTTTCTTTCTTAATTCCTACAATTCAAGATCCGGTGGGCTGACGAAGCAAATGTTCAAGCTAATATGAATGCCAACGCTCAGTCTCCAATTAATATTACCAAGGAACAGCTCACAGGAATTGGTGCATGGGCTCCTTACATGCATAAGCTATAGCAGGTTTAAAAATAAACAAAGGAGGTATGCCTTTCCTTTAAGTTTGTATTAATTGTGGAAGGAGAGGCCATACAAAGAAAAAATTGTAGAAAAAAAAAATCAAGCATGGCTGATCCGAGTGCAGTGGTGTTTACAACTAATTGATCACAGCCAGTTACAGATGTCTTTGCTCCTTCTCCACTCCCACTGCTTCACTTAACCACAGAAGTAAAAGGAAATTTCACATATTGGGCATATATTCCTTTCCCTCTTCTGTTGTGACCTATGACATGGTTAGACTCCCCCGATGGCTTGTGGATGCTGGAGCTGATAGATAATCATGGCCTGTCTTATCCTCAAGAAGAAGGTAATTTGATGAATATTTCTCTTGGTTTTGAACATGTACCCTATGCCTAAGAGCAGCTAAAGGATGTTTAAAATAAAAAATTCAGGCATGGCTAGCCACAGTACCTGAAAAAAAGTCACACTTGAGCTCAGTCGTATATGATTTCTGGCCTTGGTATTTCTCATGATAATTTGGGAAATAAAACAACGTTTTGCCCACCCAAACCCGAATGTAGCCAAAATGAAGAATGGTCCTCTAAATTAAAAATATTAATTTGGGAAGATTGTGTCACGGCAGAGGTTGAGGTGCTGTGCGGTGTTTCCCATGGAATTATTGTTGACTGGTCCCCTAAGGGGACATCTAGCATCAGTCAGCCCTCTTGTTGTGACATGGAGTCAATTAGGTGGTACGTAAAAAATAATGACAGTACTGAGTCAATGCGCACTGAGACAAACACCCCTATTGTTTGGAGCACTGGGGGCATAACAAAACCTAGGCCAAGAATGGTTTGGCCGACAATGGGAACTGAACAGAAAGAACTTTGGAAAATACGTATGGCCCTAAAACCAATTAAAAGTCTGGAAAGGAAACTATACTAGATCCTGCTCCAGTAATTCTTATTCATTCAAAATTGTAAAAAATAAAACTCTTTGGATACAGAGTTGTGTTAAACCCCCTTATCTTTTGGTGGTGGGAAAGTTACAGATTGATTTTATTAACTCCAAGGTAACACGCCGAAACTGTAAGCTATTTTCTTGTGTTAATGCTTCTATGTTTAATTCTCACAACTCTATACTATTAGTCAGAGCTTGAGAGGGAATCTGGCTACCTGTAAACCTGCCTCATCCCTGAGAAGCATCTCCCTCAGTGCATATTCTTACTGAAATTTTACCAAAGTTTCTAAAACACACTCGAAGATTTATTGTGACTTTAATTTTAGTTATTATGGCTGATTAATAACTTTAATTTTAGTTATTATTGCAACTTTAATTTTAGTTATTATGGCTGATTAGTATTACATTTAGTTATTATGACTGATTGCAGTCACGGCCACAGCAGCTGTGGCCAGAGAAATCTTGCACTCCTCCAGACAAACCGCTGAGTTTGTCAACAATTGGCAAAAAAAAAACGCCGCTTTACTGTGGAATTCTCAAACAAAAATAGATCAGAATATAGCTAGCCAGATTAGTGATCTCAGGCAAGCAGTCCTCTGGCTAGGGGACAGAGTAGTTAGTTTAGAATATAGAACTCACTTACAGTGTGATTGGAATACTTCTGATTATTGTATTACTCCTCATCTTTACAATGAAACTGAGCATAATTGGGAAAAAATGAAGTGCGCCGGGAAGGGCATGCTGGAAACTTATCTTTGGATATAGCTGAATTAAAAGAGAAAGTTTTCCAGGCTTCTCAAGCGCATTTAACTTTAATTCTGGGAACAGACGTGCTTGAGGGAGCTGCTGACGGATTAGCAGCCCTAAAGCCAGTGACCTGGGTAAAAAAACACTTGGAGGATCTCTGATTGCTGTTATGATTATGTTATTAATTTGCCTTATTTCTCTTTGTGTAGTCTACAGGTGCGGATTCTGAATCCTCCAAGAAATAGCTCACCAAAATAAAGCTGTGCTTGCTTCTCTAGCCTTGTTAAAAAAAAAAAAAAAGGTACACGTATTGGGAGGAGATCTTGACATGTGTGTTGGAGTATATGTTGTTTGCTGAGAGGTGATGGCAAGGAACACTGAACCATCCCCAGGCAGAAAACTGCTGGAATAGTAAGCAGTATGTACCCGTCATGCACTAGTTAAATCAGCTTCCAAACAGAGGAAATTTGACCTTGTCCCCATTGCTGACTCACAAAGAGTGTTTTCTAGCTTATTTCTATTTTAGCAGTGAACAGGCACTGTCTACATGTTTAGTCTATCTTTATTCTATGAAGAAACACTGAGCATCTGCTTATTAAAAAAATCACTTGTTCACAAAGAATAAATACGTGGGTCAGAGTCTGCCCTGGGCTGTCAGCTGGGAAACGCTGTCAGCCCCCTGACATCCCACTCTGATCCCACTTTTGCACTCTATCTTTGTTTCTGTTTCTCAATTCCTTCACCACCACCTGGGTTGGGGTCTCTTCGACCGAGCTGATCTTGGCAATGTCCACCACCCTCCAGTGCTCCAGACACAACTGTTCTCAAACATGCCTGGCACACTCCTCCGGGCACCCCTCTTCCTGGACTGCTCTCCTCTCAGCTGTCTGCTTGGCTCACCCTCTCACCTCCTCAGGTCTTGGCTCAAATCTCACCTTTCAATGACCTGTCCAACCTATTAAATGCAAATGTACCCATCTCTGATGTTCCTGATCTTCCTGGTACTCTATTTAAAATTTTTTCAATAGCACTTATTTCTTTCAGACGTTCTATATGTTGCTCCCATTTGTGATGTTCAGTGGCTACTGTCCCCACCCACATTGTTCCAGGTGAATTCCACAAGGCGGGGATGTTGGTTACGCTCATTGCCATACCCAAGCCCCTAACACAGGGCCTGGTGTGTAGGTTTTCAGAAAGTATCTGTTAAATGCATGGGTGGAGGATGGAGCATTTTCTTTCCGGCACAGCTGGGGAAAAAGAACCTAAGGCCCTCTACTCACCAGGCTTTCACATTCTCTTTAGTTCAGTTGGGAAATACTATTAAAAGGACCATTCTTGTAGCCTTGATGGTGGCCCCAGCACCTGGCAATCGAGAGGTCCTGGAAGTGCTCTGCCCAGGGAATGTCCCAGGAATATGCGCAGTCTGCAGGAGGCAGTGAACACGCTTGGCCTGGGGCCCATCTCAGGAGCCTTCAGATCTCCCTGGGACCTGTATAATAGAGTCCACAATCTTTGTCTGACGTCAAGGCTAGAGCTTTTGCAATCAGGATTCCACACATCTTCCAGCCTCATCCTCCTCCATTCCCTTTTCGTTTCCTGAACCTTCCCACTTCTATGCCTTTCCTCTTGTGGGCTCCCTCATGTAATTATGGTAATTTCCAGCCAGTTATTCCCTCATCCTTGTCTTATGACTGAATCCCACTTTCTCTGGGACACCACTGCTTGGTCACTCTGCCCTGTGCTTTGGATGGAGGTTGGGTGGAGCATGGGACATGAGCCAGTTACTGCCTTCACATTTCCCTGGTCATGTGATTTTTTTCGGGGCGGGCACATGACCCATGCAGAGCCTGTGAAGTGCGATGGGACTAGAACATGTGAGAAGAGAGGCATGAAACTGAAGCTGAGAGGGTCTGAGATCTGGAGCTACTCCTTCATCCACCCAAACTTCGGAAGATGAAGGAGGTAGCACATGTGAGTGAGCAGATCCCGAGGGCCTGTCTGAGCCTCAGAATCAAAGCACCTCTGAAGCTTGTCCCAATCTTGGACTCAACAGTTACATAAACCAATACATTCCTTTCAGGGTGGAGTCATGTCGTTTTGTTACTTGCAACCTAAAGATTCCTGACTGATATACTGTGCCCGAGTGCTTTTCTCTTCAGCTCTCTAACGCTTGGCATCCTCCCTGCTCCCTGACACGTCCACTGAGGAGGTTTTCCCCAGGGAGCTCGGTGCCCAAATGGCATCTCTCTTTCCCAAGCTTCTAAAGCACTCATTGCTCTTCCCATCTCATAGAACCACCTGGTGCAACCTGCCCACGTCCCACCACGTCTGCCCCGCACAATTGAACATGGAACTGGGCACACAGCAAGGGAAACTTTTAGGTGGATGGAATGGAGGGGAGGAGAACAGATGGCTGGGTGAATGTAAGCTCCATGAGAGCAGGGACTTTGCCATGCATAAACTCTGCATCCCCTGTGCTTCAACCGTTGCTCAGAGTGTAGTAGATTTTTTTGGAATGAATGGAAAAGTACTTTTTTTAAATGAATGGCTGATAGAGGATTGAGCAGGCAAGCAGTGTTCTGCTGCTGTTTTTTCTCTTCCCCTGAGTTTTCGATGTTTGATGTTCAGGTAACACAGCATACGTGTTACCTGCCCTCTGACAGTCTTTTGATGTTGCACAAGTTGCCCTTGTGCCTTCCCCATGCCCAATCTCTCTCAGCTCTGCCTTTAGTTCTCTCTCTTCAAGGCCCCAGTCCCCCACCATCAGGAAGGACTCTGAGTTTCCTAGTCCCCTGGGAAATGAAGCTCTAGATCTGAAGGTGGATATTTGTTTGAAGACACGGAGGATGAAATTCTACTTTAGAGCTCTGGAAATCTTGCCCCACAAGGAACTTCTGTTGGCGTGCCAGCCTGGCTGGTGAGATACAGCCTGAGCTGCACCAACAGGGTCTAGGTGCTCAGAGGTCCTGACTTTGTGCCCTGGATGCACAGATAGGATGTCTGGCAAGGGACACCCAGCAGGGCTTGTCACACCAGCATTGGTGGATTTGTGTGTGTTCATGTGTCTGTCTGGGAAATATGTGTGCATGTGTCTGTGTTGCTATGTGGGCTGTGCACAGTGTATATGGTTGTGTATGTGGAGAAGATGCAACTGTATCACTGTGTCTAAATAGGTCTGGCTATGTGCCTGCAAGTTTCCTATTTGTTCTTTTTTGAGATGACAGAGTCTTGCTGGAGTGCAGTGGCGTGATCTCAGCTCACCGCAATCTCTGCCTCCCAGGTTCAAGCTATTCCTTCACCTCAGCCTCCTGAGTAGATGGGATTATAGGCATGAACTAATTTTTGTATTTTCAGTACAGACAGGATTTCTCCATATTGGCCAGGTTGGTCTCGAACTTCTGAGCTCAAGTGATCTGCCCGCCTTGGCCTCCCAAAGTGCTGGAATTATAGGCGTGAACCACTCTGCCTGGTCCTATTTGTTTTTTCATGCCTTTCTCTGTGTATATGTGGGTGGGGACTTGCTGCAAAAGGCAGGCATGTAACAAGTCGTGCTCTAAAGCCTGTGTTCAATGGAGAGGGCAAGGGCTGGCTGTAGGCACCTCTTGTTCTCCGTCGCTGTTTTAGGTGCCATGTAGGTGACAGCAGCTCAGCAGCTCTCACTGCCCAGGCCAGGATAAAGCCCTCTCCACCCCAGCTTGACTTCCCGGCCTGGGCCTAGGTCCCACCTGTTGCTCTGTCTTCCCAGAGGCCTGACAAGCTCTGGCTCCCTGCCTGCACTGCTCAAACCTTTCCCAGGGGTCTCAGGAAAGCAACCAGAATTCTTCTGACCCTCAGGCTCTGCGGAAAGGTGGACTCTTCCCTAGGGCTGACCTAGGGGGAAGTGTAGAAATGGCTTTGCCTCCGGGCAGGGCTGCTGCCCACACTCAACGCCCTGAAATGTGACGTTTTGACTGCAGTTTTTCTCTTTGAGAAAAGCATCTCTTTTCTTTCCCAGGTGCCTGAAATCCATGGGAAGGCCATCCTTGATCTTGCTTTGTTATAAACTATCTTCAGAGATAATACATTTCGTGGGCTTTCCTTTGAGGTCCTGATGAGGAAAAGGATGAGAGGAAGAAAATATTTGGCATAGAAATGAGGAATTGGGGCAGAATGACGGGGTCAGGGCAGGTGGTAACTAGAGGCATCCTTGGAGGTCGCAGTCCTTCTCTTGCCTCAAGTTCTCTGCCAGGGTTGCCTTCAGCCGTCTTCATGCAGGGGGCAGAGAGCCACAGGGGCCATGGGGCCCTCCCCTGCTAGTACTCTGGGACTGGAGTGTGCGCAGGGATCCCAATGCCCCATGCCCTGTGGCTCTGGGCATGGGGCACTGGGCTCCCTGCGCACACTCCAATCCTGGGGTGCTCTTGCTTCCTGGGAGGGCTGTTGTGACGCTGGATATCCCTGACTGTGGGATGGTACAGTTGCATTCACCTCACACCTCACCTATTGAGGCTTCCCTCAGTCCCAAGCATCCCCTCTGGGGTTCTCAGGCCGGTCACAGGATCCATTAAGTTCCTATCTGCACACAGTCACTCCCAGTTGAGACCTTCTGGTCCTGACTCAGGGAACTCAGCCTCTCAGCCCCACCCCAGCCAATCCACAGGCCACGCTCCTGGTCCATATTCCCTTGGGTTTGGGAAAAAGAAAGGTCTAGGGAGGGCCAAGGAGGTGTGTGAAGTCTCTCTTCCTGCTTCCCCACAACCTCAGCCCCACTGTATGGGCACAGGGCCTGATTGGGCAGAGATGCCATTGGTACGTTTCCTATGGACAGTCTTATACCTTCCAGCCCCCTTCTCCTTCCATGCCCTCTACTCAACTCTTCTCCTGGTGCTCCTGGTCCTTGTAGAATAGGCTGGAATTTCTCAGCTTCCCCTAACCAGGCAGAGCTCTATCAAGCTCCAGGCAAACATCAGCATTTGGGGGCAGCTGACTCCAGAGAAAGACAGGCTCCAGCCCAGGGTCACACAGCTAGTTGGGGACAGATACCCACCCCAGCTCAGGCCCCTGCCTACTCTCCTGGCGGAGCAGAACAGGCAGCCTCAGGAGAAATGTGAGGCTTCCAGAGACGTCAGATAGAAGTAGCAGAGAGAAGCTCCACTGGCTGGTTGCTGGGTGGGGGGGTCCATGCAGCCTGGGCCCACCTCCTCTGAGACCCTCTACCCAGCTCCCACAGTCATTCTTCCTCCTGTCCCAGACCCCGCCAGGCCCTGCCATCAGCCAGCTGCAGCTATGACAGCCACCCCATCACCCTCTTGCAGCACTGGTAAGCGCGCTGGGAAGGGGGATTATCTTCATTTCATAGGCCGGAGGGCTGACGCCAGGAAATGATTTGAGGACAGGAAGCAAATTCGTCGAGACTGGAAGTCAGGTTTCTAACATTTAATCTCCACTTAGGGAATTGGAGGTCAGAAATGAATAAAACACCATGTCCCAGTAGGCTCCAGTCTGGGGATGTGGGCAGCAGGAGGAAACCAAGACACAGAAAGCAATGACACGTAGCAGATATGCTGTGATGCCAATGGTGCTGTGGGAGCTCCAGGGTTCGGAGGCCATTTCTGGCCAGAGGATGAGATGAGTGATATCCAGGAAGGGTTCCAGGAAGGAGTAGCTGGTACTGGGATGGGCAGGAAAAGCAATGCCTCTACTTTAGGGATGGTTTCACTGGAGAAAATTGACAAAGTTGAATTGCACTGGATTGAGAAGTTTGTAGGCCAACCGTGACAAAATTTAAACATCGGGTATGTGAAGGCAAGCGGGACCAACTGACAAAATTTTAATGTCATGCACGTGAAGTCAAAGGGGAACCAGAAGAGTAAAAGAGTGACAAACAGGAGTGCTTTTGGCAAAAGGTCTCTGGCAGCAGCGTAGAAGAGAAATGCAGAGGTCACAGGTATAAGAATGACAGTAGGAGAAGGGAAGAGGGGACACATTTCAGAGGCATCACATGGGGTTGTGCTGACAGCATGGGGGCCTGCTTGTATGAGGGTGAAAGAGGAGGAGGGAGTGAGGGGGTCTCTGGTATCTGCTTTGGGAGATGGGGTGAATGGTAGGGTTCTGAGCAGAGACAGCAGGGAAATCAGGAGGAGGAGTGGTTCAGGGAAGAGTCAGGGGCTCAGATGCCAAGTTCTGCATTGGCCAAGCTGAGTCAGAGGTGCTAGGAGACTCCCATGGGGGTCTGGAGGTCTGGGGGCAGGAGAAAGCTTTGAGTTCAGCAATGATCATGGAAACCAAGGGAGGGTTTGGATCACCCTGAGGTGGGGGAGACATGGGCACTGAGGAGGGATCTTGAATAATTCCTACATTAAAGGCATCTTGGCTGGGTGCAATGGCTCATGCCTGTAATCCCAGAGCTTTGGGAGGCTGAGGAGGGTGGATCACCTTAGGTCAGGAGGTCGAGACCAGCCTGGTCAACATGGTGAAACCTCATCTCTAGTAAAAACGCAGAAACTAGCCGGGTAGGTGGTGCACACCTGTAGTCCCAGGTACTCAGGAGGCTGAGGCAGGAGAATTACCTGAACCCAGGGGGCAGAGGTTGCAGTGAGCCAAGATCACACCACTGTACTACAGCCTGAGCAATAGACCAAGACTTTGTCTCAAAAAAAAAAAAAAAAAAAACCAAACCAAACCAAAACAAAAGAAAATGCATCACTTCTCTAGACCTGTGCTATCCGATAGGGCACATACAGCCCTTGAGCACTTGGAATGTGGCTAGTCTGGGCTGAGAAGAGCTGCAAGAGAACAGTACATACTAGACGCTGAAGAAAGGCACAGGGCGAGACTCTGTCTCAAAACAAACAGGCAAAGCGCTGCTTGGTCTCCAGCCTGGCCTCACCCAGAACCTGGGTGCCTTCCTCCCTCATGGCCTGAATGGCTTCTGGGTGTTTCAGGAGGAACAAGAGCATCCAAAAAGAGGCAGGCCCTGTGTTTCCCTGGGAAAGGGAATGTAAAAACTATTTCGTTACAATCTTCGATCGTGATCATGCTGAAATGCCAATATTTTGGATATATTGGATTAAGTAAAGTATATTAAAAAAATGAATTGTTTCATTTTACTTTTAAAAAGTGTGTTTGCTGGGAAACTAAATTAGCTGGGTGAGGTGGACATACCTGTAATGCCAGTTACTCAGGAGGCTGAGGCAGGAGAATCGCTTGAACCCAGGAGGTGGAGGTTGCAGTGAGCAGCACCACTGCACTATAGTCTGAGGCACAGGGCGAGACTCTGTCTCAAAACAGACACCCCAAAGAACTCACTACACATGTGGCTTGTGTCATATTTCTATTGTATGGCACTGTTCTAGAACCTGAATTCCATAGGATGTGGAATAAGTGCTGCTGAAAAAAATAAAGCAAGGTGGGAGGTTGGAGGCTGACATTTGCAAGATGCCACGTTACTCACGTCTGGGAGGAACCAGGGTCTGTCCTACAGGACTTCTCAAGGCGGGCATCATCTCCCAAACCAAGCTGCCCACAGATGCTCCCCCTTCCACTGGACTTCCTGTGAGAGGACAGTTCAGCAGAACCCACTCTGAGAGATGGTATTTTAAAGAGGGACTGATAACCCTGTCAGATGAGTAGGCGGGGAGAGAGCGAGGACAGGGAGAACAGAGGTAGGGATTACGCAGAACTAGAGGCGGGGGTGGTCAGTGGGGGTTTGGGGCTGCAGAGGGGTGAAAAGAGGTGAAAGACCCAATTGAATCCCTCTGGCCAGTTTTGCAGCTGGCTTGGCCGAGCTCACGCTGTGGGACGCAGGCGGTAGCGGAAGCGCACGTCGTGGCTGGGCTGCATCATGCCAAAACCCCAGCGCTTCGGGTCCACGTGGGGTACTGGTGCATCAGGGTCCACCAACTCTAAGTCAAAGTGTGTGACCATAAGCAGGACAAAGAGCTTCACCTCACTGAGTGCAAAGAATCTCCCAGGGCAGATGGAAACGCCTGAACCCCAGGGCATGGTGTAGTGGCGGGTCTTCTTGCCTGCCTTGAAGAAGTCCACTTTCCGGCTGCCATCAGGGTTGAGGAAGCGATTGTACTTGAAGACAGTGGGCTCAGGGTGGATGTCAGGGTCCAAGTGCACGGAGAGGTAGGGAAAGAGGGCTAGGATGTCTCCATGGCGGATCAGATATTCCTGCCCACTGGCCATCTTCAGGGTATAGTCTTCATGAACCATCCTGAGGAGGGTGGGTGCAGCCCTTAGCCGCAGCGTCTCCTCCACCACACTGTCCAGGACTGTGGTGTGTTGCAGGGCACTGAGTTTGAAGGCAAAGGGCTGCTTGGTCTCCAGCCTGGCCTCACCCAGGACCTGGGTGGCTTCCTCCCTCACAGCCTGAATGGCTTCTGGGTATTTCAGGAGGAAAAAGAGCGTCCAAAAAGAGGCAGGCCCTGTGTTTCCCTGGGAGGCCCAGAGCATCATGAAGCTGAACTTGTCCTGCATCGCTGAGGGTACTCCCTGCTCCCTCAGAAACTGAAGCATGTTGCACAGCCAGTTGCTGATGCCATCCTTCTCCTGGGTGTGTCTCACAGAGAGCATCTTGTGAAAGAAACGCTGGAGTCGGCCCACTTCCAGCCGCTCCTGAGGCCACAGCAGGGAGTAGACAAACCTGGGGAAAAGAAGGTCAAACTTTCGGAACCCCTTGAATAACTTTCCTGCCTGTAGCAGGTCCCGCTCCTTGTCCTTCGTGTAGCCGAACAAGCTCAGGTATCCAGCTGTGAACAAGATGTAATAGCAGAATTCAAAGAGGCTGTCCTCATGCCAGCAACTGGCATCCAGACTCCGGCCTTTGGACTTCAGCATTACAAAGGACAGGCTGTCCAGCATGACCTCATTAAGATCCTTCAGGCCATCCCCCATCAGATGCTTCGTACTGGCTGAGTGTATCATCTCGTTGTCCCCTTGCACTGAATGGTATCCAAATACCTTCAGCACCAGTTTTTTTGCATATTCGACGAAGTCTAGTTTTCTCCGTGCATCCTTGAGGATGGGGCCAAAAGAGAGGGGGTCCATGACGAAGGTGAAGTACTGGCCCCCTAGCTGCACTGTGAACACATCTCCATGCTTGGTCCTCATGCGCTTCAGAAATTCAAACATATTCTTCCGGAAAGCCGTGGCATGGCCAAGCCAGGGCACGGTGCCCTTGTCCAGAGGGGGTTCCCAGGGCCTGCGTTGTCGAAGTATCCCTGGCAGGCACAGGTATCCTACAATGACCACCAGCAGAGCTCCCAGCACTGGACCCCAGAGCACCATGGTTATGCTCCTGCAGATTAAGCTGTTGACACACACTGTTCCCTAGGTGCCAGAGAGCTTTGGGAGGCCTTGGAAAGTCCAGGATGTAAAGGTCTGAGGACTTGGACCTTGCCCTGTGGCCGAGAGTTATGGTAATTAACACTAGGGAGACAGTATTTGGAAGCAGCAAAATGCTCCCTGTACGTAACAATTGGCTGCCTCTAGTCACGTGGGGGAGGAGGAAGTCACTAGGAGAGAGCTCAGAGAAAAGCCTCCAGCTATCACAGCTGCTCACTAGCTTCCTGCTTTGCTCTGACCTTCTCAGCTCTGGCACCTTCTCTCTAAGCCTGCCTTGAGCCCACTCCACCCCCATGGTTGACTAGTTATACCCTCATTTACTCATGCATTTATTTATTTGCCAGTTCATTCAGTAGAAATGCATCAAGCACTTACAAAATTTCACATCCACTCTTTCCTCATCCTTACAAGACTCCACAAATGCCTCCACTCCTAGTTGGCTCCCTTGGTCAAGTTACTTAACTTCACTGTGCCTCCATTCCTTCATCTGTGAAGCCTGTGAAGTGGGTATAATTATAGTGCCTCATAGGTGCTGTTGCAAGGCAAAAAGAGATAAAACCTGAAAAGCACTTAGAATAGTGCCTGGCTCATGTTAGTGCTCCATATATGGCTGTTAGTATCCTGAACCTTCTCTTTTACTTCTGCCTGCTTCCCTGGGCCCCATAGCAGCCCCATGCTTATCTCCTCATCCTTTTCCAAGTCTGTCTTCCTCTCTGGTCTCAAAGATGCTTGCCAAGGGGGCATGACCTGTCGAAGTCATGTCTGCTCCTACCTCCATGTGTAGAGTACACAGTCAAAGGCAAGTGAAGAATGAAAGTATGCCCTTCCATAAGAGCTCTGACTCCTAACCCAAAGAAAAGAGGTGTCAATGCTGAAGCTTTAGATGCTGAGAAGGCTATGCTGGTGGAGAGCGTGTGTCAACATGCTCTGGGAAATCAGAGATCTGGAGAATCCGATGGGGTTGCAGGAGGATTTTATTTAAAGTGATCACGGGCTCAGCAGAATTGCTTCCTAATTCTGAGCAAAGGACAAAGAAAATGGGGCATTTTTTATGCACCTAGGATGACGCAGCAGGTACAGACACCAGAACAAAGAAGGGTTAATTAGCTTGTGACATGTCTTGTGATGTACTTTACATTTGAAAAGTAGCATTTTGATAACCACATTGAGGGACTGTGTTAACTTCTCTTCCCAAGTCCACAAGGGGCGTGGTTTCAAAGGCAAGAAATTCCCGCTGTCATACCTCCATCCACCTCCCCTTCCAGGAGCCTAGAGTTCTTTGTCTAACTTTTGCATGCCCATGCTGGGTAGACTGCCCGGGTAAGCTTCCTTTGTTTAGAAAGCCTGCCAAAATCCTTGGAAGGAGGGGCTCTATTGCAAGTCAGGCAGCCAATCCAGCATCAGAGTCAAAGATCAGTAACTTCAGAGGGAGTTTGGAAAAGCTCCTCTCACTGGACGAGAATTTGAATGGGGCAGGAGAAACTCCGGGGTTAAAATCCCCCCTACTCTTTTACTTATACAGATTTCCCTCTCAAGGATCCCCTCCCGCGGCAGCATGGGAGCCCTCTCTTCATCTGTGAAGCCTGTGAAGTGGGTATAATTATATTTCTCTTTCTCTCTCTCTGCCTAATAAACCGCTTGTCTGCAAAGCTCTTTGGGTCCGACATTTGCTTGAACAGTATCACTATGCCTCAGGGTCTCCTACCCATTCTTGGGTGAGTGAGAGCCCAAGGACCTGGAAAAAACACATCTGATCAGGGAACAGTGAGCGCCTTTTGGGAGGCACCTGCAACCTGCTCTCATGCCCCAGTTATAACATTCTGCAGTTTCTATCTGCTCTGTGACTTTGCAGCTGGTCAGCAAGAAAAACAGGAATATCTAGATGCCTGGGAACTTTGCTGAGAATGTGGGGAGGATAGACATAGGTTAACTGATTTGCAGGAAGGCAGTTTAATATTCTACCTTAAACTGAGCTGGGGAGATATTACAACACACGACGCAGCAAAGTTTACTTTATTATATAGCAACTACAAATTATGAGGTTTTGTTTGACTATTACTGCTATCATTTAATTTTATTCTTTAGTATTAGTGTGAATGGATTCATCTGATGGGGCCCACAGAGCTTCCTAGATGAGGAGTCTTCAAGCAGAGGCTTCGCCCTCAGTCTCTGAGCCTCTCATGTGGAGACATCTCGCCTGCCCAACTGCTTTGCCTATACACTTCTCTGACAAGAAGACAGAATCCTGGAATTGTAAAATGTCAGAGACAATAGGGACCTTACTCAATCAATTCATTTCACAATGAGGATCTAGGTGCAGAATGCAGTGGGGACCCTCTCTGACAGCTGCCCTGGCTTGGGACCCTGAGATGTATCAGGGTCATTGACTAAGGGCTTTCTGAGACCTGTAAGGCCAGGTTCCTGCCAGCAGCTCAAGAACGAGGAAGCTGTACTGTTGATGCCAAGGTGTTAGGCAAGCAGCCTGGCCCACTGTTGCAATAGGCGAGGCTGAAACTCAATTAAATCAGTTCTGATAATCTCCAAATGACTCTTTAACTTCCTAACAACCTGAAAACAGTGACTTAGGCTCTTCAGACAAAACGGTATGGAACCTCCATATCCTCTCTGGGGTGAGCTTCCTTACCTATGAGCTTCCCCTTGGCAGGGAGTTGGAACTGTCCACACTCTGCTTCCCAGAATCACTCTTTAATTGCTCAGGGAAACCATAGTACTTGGTATCATCAACTCTCCTCATCCTTAGAATTCAGTCAGAAACTGTCTGTGGGCCAAATCCAATGAACTGAAACCTGTCCCCTAGTTTTTAATGAATGAATCCTTATTTCATATTCATTCTTACCTCATTCATTAACCCATGCTCATCCATTCATGCCCTCCTTCCTTGGAGAAGCCCCAACTATCCATTCACTAGATATTTATTGGGCACTAACTGGCAGAAATATTGCTAAGATCTGGGATTACAATCATGAATGAGATAGACACAGTCCCTGCCTCCTGCAGTTTATGGTCTCCGAGGTAGTTATACACGTATTTCTCATTTTACTGTGCTTTGCTTCATTGCACCTCACAGATACTGTGTTTTTGACAAATTGAGGGTTTGTGGCAACCTTGCATTGAGCAAGTCTGTTGGTGCCATTTTTCCAGCAGTATGTGCTCGCTTTGTGTCTCTGTGTCACATTTTGTAATTCTCATAATATTTCAAATTTTTTCATTGTTATCATTATAGCTATTATGGTGATCTGTTAGTACTGTAATTGTTTTGGGGCACCATGAACTGGGCCCATATATGATGCAAACTTAATTGGTAAATGTTGTGTGTTTTCTGACTGTTCCACTGACCAGCTGTTCTCCTCTCTGTCTATTGCTTCTTGGGCTTTCCTATTTCCTGAGACACCGAAATGTGGAAATTAGGCCAATTAATAACCCTACAATGGCATCGAAGTGTTCAAATGAAAGGAAGAGCTGTACTTTAAATCACTTTAAATTTCACTTTAAGTCACAAGCTAGAAATGATTAAGCTTAGTGAGGAAGGCCAAGATAGGCTGAAACCTAAGTTTGTTGCATTGTACGGTTATCCAAGTTGTAAATGTAAAAGAAAAGTTCTTGAAGGAAATTAGAAGTGTTGCTCTAGTGAAAACATAAATACAAGAAAAACAGCTTTATTGCTGATGTGAAGAAAGTTTTAGTGGCCTGCATAGATCAAACCAGCTACAATATTCCCTTAGCCAAAGCCTAATCCAGAGCAAGGTCTTAACTCTCCTCACTTCTATGAAGGCTGGAAGTGATGAGGAAGCAGCTGGAGAAAAGCTTGAAGGTAGCAGAGGTTCGTTCATGAGGATTAAGGAAAGAAGCCATCTCTGCAACATAGAAGTGCAAGATGGAGCAGCAAGTGTTGATGAAGAAGCTGCAGAAGCAATCCAAAAGAAGTAGCTAAGATAATTGATGGAGGTGGCTACACTAAACAACAGATTTTTAATGTAGCTCAAATAGCCTTATATTTGAAGAAGAGATCATCTACGGACTTCTCTAGAGCAAAGTCAATGCCTGGCTTCAATGCCTCAAAGGGTAGGATGACTTCTTGTTAGGGGCTAATGTAGCTGGTAATTTTCAGTTGAAGCCAATGCTCATGATCATTTTGAAAATCCTAGGGCCCTTCAGAATTATGCTAAATCGACTCTGCCTTTACTCTACAAATAACGAGGCAAAGTGTGGTGGCTCATGCCTGTAATCCCAGCAGTTTCGAAGGTTAAAGCAGGTGGATAGCTTGAGCCCATGGGTTGGAGCCCAGCCTGGGTAATGTGGTGAAACCCTGTCTCTACAAAAATTACAAAAATTAGCTGGGTATGGCAGTGTACACCTGTGGTCCCAGCTACTTGGGAGGCTGGTATGGGAGGATCACCTGAGCCTGGGAGGTTGAGGCTGCAGTGAGCCAAGATGATGTCATTGCACTCCAGCCTGGGCGACAGAATGAGACCCTCTTTCAAAACAAACAAACAAACAAACAAACAAACAAACAAACAAACAAACAAACAAAACAAAGCCTGGATGGCAGCACATCCGTTTGCAGCATGGTTTACTTAATATTTTAGGCCCACTGCTGAGACCCCCTGTTCAGAAAAAAAGATTCCTTTTATTTTTATTTTTTTGTTTTTTGAGATGGAGTCTTGCTCTGTCACCAAGGCTGGAGTACAGTGGTGTGATCTCAGCTCACTGTAACCTCCACCTTCCTGGTTCAAGCAATTCCCCTGCCTCAGCCTCCCAAGTAGCTGGGATTATAGGCATGTGCCACCATGCTCAGCTAATTTTTTTGCATTTTTAGTAGAGACCGGTTTTCACCATGTTGGTCAGGCTGCTCTTGAGCTCCTGACCTTGTGATCTGCCTGCCTCGGCTTCCTAAAGGGCTGGGATTACAGGTGTGAGCCACTGCACCCAGCCAAAAGGTTCCTTTCAATGCATTACTATTCATTAACAAAGAACCTGGTCACCCTAGACCTCTGATGAAGATGTTCAAGAAGATAAATGTTTTCATGCCTGCTCGCACAACATCCATTCTGCAACCCATGGATCAAGGAGTAATTTTAATTTTTCAGTCTTACTATTTCAGAAATACATTTCATAAAGCTATAGCTGTGATAGACGGTGATTCCTCTAATGGATCTGGGCAAAGTAAGTTGAAAACCTTATGGAAAGGATTCACCATTTTAGAGCAACTGAGAACATTGGTGACTCATGGGAGGGAGTTAACACATCAACATGAACAAGAGTTTGAAAGAGGTCGATTCCAACTCTCATGGATGACTTTGAGGGGTTCAAACCTTCAGGGGAGGAAGTCACTAAATTAGAATCAGAAGTAGAGGTGGAAGATGTGACCGAATTGCTGCATTCTCCTGATTGAACTTGAATGGATAGGAACTAGCTTCTTATGGATGAGCTAAGAAAGTGGTTTCTTGAGATGGAAACTACTCCTGGTGAAGATGCTGGGAACACTGTTGAAATGATAACAAAGAATTTAGAATATTGCATAAGCTTAGTTAATAACGCAGCAGTAGAGTTTGAGAGGACTGATTCCAATTTTCAAAAAAGGTTCTACTGTCAGCAAAATGCTATCAAACAGCATTGCATGCTACAGAGAGAAATCTTTCCTAAAAGGAAGAGTTAACTGGTACCACAACCTCGATTGTTGTCTTATTTTAAGAAATTGCCCGGTGGCTCAAGCCTGTAATCCTAGCACTTTGGGAGGCCGAGGCAGGTGGATCACGAAGTCAAGAGATCAAGACCATCCTGGTCAACATGGTGAAACCCCGTCTCTACTAAAAAAAAATACAAAAAATTAGCTGGGCATGGTGGCGCGTGCCTGTAATCCCAGCTACTCAGGAGGCTGAGGCAGGAGAATTGCCTGAACCCAGGAGGTGGAGGTTGCGGTGAGCCGAGATCCCACCATTGCACTCCAGCCTGGGTAACAAGAGCGAAACTCCGTCTCAAAATAAATAAATAAATAAATAAAAAGAAAAAAAATTGCCACAGCCACCCCAGCCCTCAGCAACCACCAACCTCATCAGTCCAGGGTGACGATAGGAATCGCTGAAGATTCAAATGATTATAAGCATTTTTTAGTAATAAAGTTTTTTTAAAAATTAAGGTGTATATATACATATATATTTTAGATATAATGCTTTTGCACACTTGTGTATAGTCTCAACATAACTTTTGTATTTCCTGGGAAACAAAATTCGTGCCACTCACTTTACTGGGGAGGTTTGAAACTCAACCCGCAATATTTTCGCGGTATGGCTGTAATTGTGACAATGCTGCAAAGAAGAGCAGAGCATGAAGGGAGGTCGGGGTCGGGAAGGCCACACTTACTCAGCGGAGGCCTGGAGGACCACAAGACCCTGTCAATGTGTTGTGTGTGGTGGAGGTGCTAGCGGCAGAAGAGGGGGTGCTGGTCAGGGGTTGCAGCAGGGTGGTCCCAGGGTATCGAGAATCTACCCACCCTGGGGCCAATGGGCAGGGGCGGGGGCGGGGGCGGGTTGGAGAAGGGGGAAGAGTCTCCACAGGGTGCAGGGCCTGCGGACTCTGTGCAGGTTCGGATTATGACACATCCGCTGGCACTGAACCCCTCTGATGCCAGCCGGCCCAGCCACGCTTGTGTCCAGGGCCAGCCCATGGGGGCCACGGAGGGCTGCCGGATGGACAGGCAGGGAATACGGGCACTTCCTCGGGCGGAGGCTGGCTCGCCCCTGGGAAGCCGGCCTAAGCGACTGCCCTCCTCTCCCTCCCCAGGGGCTGGAGACCTGCAAACCAGCAACCCAGAGCCAACGCCGGGAGCGGGCGGCACGCCCCCTCTTCGCCCCTAAGGTCCGGGATCTGTCAGGGGGCTGGGGCGAGGTTACGACGGTGGGCGAGAGGGCCAGGTAGGCTCAAAGACACCTGGAGGAGGCCTTTGGCAGGCTAGAGGGGCCCTCGGAAAAGGTGCGGATGCACTTCCGGTCCCGCAGCCTCCGCGAGGGTCTGGAGGCGCGGCGCGGAGCGGAGCGGGTTGTGTGTTGCTGACCTCTGGCGGTTGCCCTGCGGGACTTCGCGTCCTGTTTACGTCCAGGCGCGGTATGTGTCACTTCGGCGGTGGAGCCCTCAGTAAGGGCGTGGGTCCGGGCCGCGGGAAGGAAGTGCGAAGGGCTCTGCTTTCTTCTTTCCCCATCGCAGCTGTTTCCCACTCGCGTGCTGAGCCCATCACCACCACTCGGCTCACGCCCCTGGGAGTTTTCACGGCATAAGCCCAGCAAGGGCATCATTTTGGTTGTCCTGCGGCGTTTTGGGGTACTCCTTTATTGCTAAGCTTATTCGCACCTTCCATGGTGGGCAGGACAGTGAATTGAGTTTTTTACACTGGGCCCTAGTGGGTCTATGTTCCCGTACGATGTCATGACTTCTGATTCTATAGATGGCCCAGAATTTTGAGCAAGTGGGCGCTGACCTGAGGCTTCTGTTTATCTGCTGTGATTCCTTTACTGGGGTTCTCTAGTCCGGATGCATCAGAGCTCCCCTAAGTCTTGTTTGCCCTCTTTTCTGACTCTGGGTGATACGAGCTGTTCCCTCAGTATGTGCCACCTCTTGCTCACTGCCTCATCCCCAGCAGTAAGCAGTACCATTGAAATGGAAATATAGGGGAGAAACTGTTTCACTCTGCCTTTAGAGCAGGTAATAATCGTTTCACTTAGGGCTTACTTATGTTTCCTTTTTCTTTCTAGCTTTCCAGGTTCCTTCTGTTTTCCCGGAGGGGAGGGAACTCCCTCCACGCCAGCCTGGGTTCTCCACAGCCTGGCTCAAGGTTCACTATGCTAACTCCTAGCCTGCATCACATATGCCAGGTTGCAGTAAAGCCAGTGTAGGACATAAAAGGCAAACCTGGGTTCTTGTCCCAACGCTGCCAATTCATGGCATGACCCAGAACATTTTGTTTTACCCTTCTGGGCCTTTATTCTGATATGTCAAAATAGGAGATACTGAATTCAAGGTACTTGCCAGCAGTGAGATGCTGTTATAAAGGTATTGGGTTGTGCATTCACTAATTTGCCAAAAGATACGAGGGAATATAGTGTGAGAAGGTGGAGGGATAGGGTGGGAATTGGAATGATTGGCATTGACCTTCTAGCCAGTGGATGGCTCTATGCTGATCATTCTCAAGGCCACCAAGACCATCACTATTCTTATTTTGAGGACTTACCTTGAGCTAAGTATTACACTAAATTCGTGTATTTTGCTGTTTAATCGTTATAGCAATCCTTGTGGGTTTTCCCGAAGACCATTCCCACATTCAGAGATTCCATAGAAGAACTCAAGGGACTCAGAGTACAGTTTTAATCATGACCAAGATTGATTACAGCTGGATTGCTGGTCCCCAGCCCCTTGGGACGGTGGGGAGGGCAGCCACATGGGCTGAATTCTCAGGGGCAAGCCAGCCTCTGCCTGAGGAAGAGCCAGTATTCTCTGCCTGTCCATTTGGTGGGATACATATCCAGATCACAAGGGAAAAAGATATAGGTGGAATCTGGAGAAATCTTACGTGCAGGTTTCTGAGTTCTTTCTCCCTGCTATGAGAGATCACACAAAGCCTCCTCCTCCTAGCAATGAAAATGCAGCAACATATGGGCCATGTTTCTACCTAGGGAACCACAGCAATTAGTGAGTGCCCAAGGTTTTTACTGGGGGACTGGTCATGGAGGCACCTTCTGCCTAGCGTGTACCAAAATTCCAGACTCCTAGAAGGAAACCAGAAGTTCATTATAAATCATGTTTTACAAATAGTCAAGGTATAATGAACTGCTCTTATTGGTTAAATGTTGACTGGATGCACTTTGAAAGTGAAGTTCCCAGACACTAGCCAGGGGCCTACCTTGCAAGCAGGCATTTTTTTGGTCTCAGACTTGCTATGTTAGTGATTTTATGCACCAACCATATGAAGCAATAATGCCCTCATTTTATAGAGGAGAAAATTGAGATTTCAAGGGCTAGTAACTTGTCTAGAGTTGCACCACTAGCAAGTGATACAGCCAAGAGTCTAATCGTCTGTTTACCTCAGAATTTGAGCTCTTCATCCACTGCCATAGTGCCAGTCCAGGGCCTTCCTTAAGTCCTTTTTCCTTGTTCTTTCTGCCTGAAATGTTCTTTCCTTAACTTTTGGTATAACTGGTATGGTTTGGCTGTGTCACCACCCAAATCTCATCTTGAATTGTACTCCCATAATTCCCACATGTTGTGGAAGGGACCCAGTGGGAGATAATTGAATCATGGGGCAATTTCCCTCATACGGTTCTCATGGTAGTAATTCTCATGAGATCTGATGGCTTTGTAAGGGGAAACCCCTTTTGCTTGGTTCTTATTCTCTCATCTGCCACCATGTAAGATGTGCCTTTTGCCTTCTGCCATGATTGTGAGGCCTCCCTAGCTGTGTAAAACTGTGAGTCCATTAAACCTCTTTTTCTTTGTAAATTACCCAGTCTCGGGTATGTCTTTATCAGCACTGTGAAAACAGACTAGTACAACTGTTTTTTTAAATTTATTCATTTCTTTAGAGATAAGATCTCACTACATTGTCCCGGCTGGCCTCCAACTCTTGGCCTCAGGCAATCTGCCTACCTCAGCCTCCCAAGTAGGTGGGACTGCAGGCATGTGCCATATGTCTCACTTGGTTTCTTTAAATTATTCAGGTCTCAACTCAGATTTCACCTTATAAAAAGGCCCTCCCTGACTATTGTATGTAAAGTAGTCTCTTTTAAAGTTACTTTGTATCATTACCCTATTTTAGTTTCATCAAAACATTTATTATTATGAAATTTAATATTTCATAATTATTTATTATGAAATTATTGTGAAATGGTCTAGTGTCTTTGTTGATTCTCTATAGTCAATTTTCGTCTGGGCATAGTGGCTCGCACCTATAATCTTAGCACTTTGGGAGGCTGAGGTGGGTGGATCACCTGAAGTCAGGAGTTTGAGACCAGCCTGGCCAACATGGTGAACCCAGTCTCTACTGAAAATACAAAAATTAGCCGGTTGTGGTGGTGCACACCTGTAATCCCAGCTACATAGGAGGCTGCCTCAGCTTTATCTACAGCTGTCTTGGTAAATTACTTTACCACCTATACCACCAGCCCCAGATAGTTGCTATTTGTGACAATCAGCTTTCCTGAGTCAGTGTGTGGTGGCATCACAATAAACTCTTTAAAATCAAGGACTATGTCTTGTCCATTGCTGTATCCTCAAAACTTAGCACATTGCCTGGCACATAGTAAATGCTCTATAAATGTTTGTTGAATGGACAAATAATTCTCCAATTCCATCTCTGATTACTGTTGCAGGCATTCAGTCTTATTTTTGAGTTAAGAACATTGGGGCTCAGAGGTGAGAGGAACTCTCCCTTGGGCACACATTTATTAAGTGGTAGAGCCAAACATTTAGTACAGCCAGTTTGTTTGTGCCAGCTTTACTGCTCAGTGGGTCAGAGAAACCTAAAATGGGAGAAATTGGAACTAGAGAAACAAGTTGTCCATATGCAGTTCCATAGTTCATATCAATAAATAATTTAATGCAGGCTTAGCATATGCAAGGTAGTATCTTAGTCTTAGGGAGATAAAGATCAATTGGAGTTTTAAATCATCCTTCAAGGATCTCATTGATTAAATGGGATAACTACTGAATATCAGATGTACAAACTAAAGCAGTATGAGCCAAATGCCAGTGGATTCTGAGATCAGTGTCACATTTTGTTGGGGGAAAGGGAACAGGGTCAGAAAGGGGTTTATAAAAAATAAGCCATTTGAGTTGGGCTAGTAAGGATATATAGGGTCAGGTTGTGAATGGAAATGTAAGGTATTTCAGGCAAACACTGATGAGGACTTTTTGCTTCTTAGTTCAGCTAAAATCTGGGTTTTTGTCTCATGACCAGGAAAAATTAGGCACATGGACACATTGAAAGGTGAGGAGAGTAGAATTTATTGAAAAGAAGCTCTCAGCAAAAAAAAAAAAAGGGGGTCTTGCCAATAGGCTTCCACCTCACAGATTGAATACCAGGCCCCCGCCCCCACACCAGTTGAAGAGGCCAGGCTTCTCCCCACTGCATAAGGTATGAATTCCAGGTAGCTACACCCCATTCTCCCAGTGCACAGGTAGGCCCTTAGTCTGAGCCACTCCACATTGATTTATTTCTCTTACCGCACATGCGTTAAGGGACAGAATATTTCACCGTGGGCATGTTTAGGCAAGCCCCCTGTACACAGTGACCTGAGCAGCATTTGGCTGTCTCATTTCTATCAACTCGATGGAGAAAGGCATCTAAAGAGCTGGTGAGATATGCTTAAAGAAGAAAGTCCAGTTCATCTGATGTATTAACGCAGGTACAACTCAGGCTGGCCTGAAGCCTAGAACTCTAATGAACATGATATCCAGGAAACTGACCTTCAATCCACATGCACACCAAACACTCAAGAAAATATTAGCGTTGTTAATAGTTACAGTAGTCCCACCTTGTCTGCAGGGGATACATCCCAAGATCCCCAGTGGATACCTAATACCATGGATAGTACTGAACTCTATATATCCTATACATTTTCCTGCATATATATATATATGTATACACACACACACACACACACACACACACGATAAAGCTTAACTTATAAATTAGGCACAGTAAGAGATTTACAAAAATAATTCATAATAAAATAGAACTATTATAACAATATGCTGTAATACAAGTTACGTGGTGAATTGTGGTCTGTCTCTAAAAATGCTTTATTGTACTGTACTCACCCTTCTTGTGATCTGTCAGTATGATAACTGTGACAGCTATCAAGTGCTAATGGTCAGGTAGTATATACAGTGTGGATATGCTAGACAAAGGGATAATTCACGAGCTGGGTGGTGTGAAAGGAAAATAACAACTTGGGACCCAATTCACTATGCTGAAAGGAAAAAGTCAAGCTAAAAGCTGAGTCAGGACTTTTTCCTTTTGTTCCTAAGCGGATAACTGCAGATAAAAGGTAAAAAAATCTCCACAGGTAGCTACTGTATGTTCACCTTATCTTATGTAACCTGCAGATTTACTT